TTTTTTTTTTTTTTTTTTCTTTCGTTCAGATACTTGTTTCTCGTCGATCCAGATTGGTTCAGGCTGGAATTTGATTGTTACTGGGGTCGTCAGTTTAGGTTAATCGCGACCCACTTGTAGATCTTTGTATACTATCGCCGTGGTTGTTCATAGTGTCTTGTTATTTTATTCTCTTCTCGTTTCTGTTATTTGGGGAAATCTTGTACCAGGAGTAATGCAAGCAGTGTAGTTGTTCACTCGTGAATTTTCGTTTACTTTTGGAAGATCACTTGGGTTTCTGGAATCAATTTGTTTTTCCTTCTTTTTCATGCTACTTTTCAGTGTTGGTAAAGCAGCGGAAAGGGTTATATATATTTTTCTGAATCTCCTTTAATTGGCATGTAATGCAGGTTTCAGTACATCGTTTAGTGCTGATTATATTCAGTACAAGTGTCCAAGTGGGCGAAAACACTGGAATTATTAGGTTGGCTGCTCCGCCTTGATCTTGATTGTTGGTTGAAATCTTGGAAATTTTGTGAGGTAAGTGGATAGTGATGACTGAAGATTAGGGGGAATGGTCCTGGGATTGATGCAACAAAATGAGCCGATCCCCTTCATTTTCTGTGAAGTCAGAAGTTAATGTGAAGTTGGATCCAGAATCTCTCCAAAAATGGGTTGTGGCCTTTTGCATTATTAGGTTTGATCTTGAACAGGGTCAACTCATTGAGGAGTGCTACCCTCCAGGCGTTCTTACACAAGATGAGGAACTTGAAGTTGCATTTAGTTCATTTCCCGATTCGATTTCGCAGCATCAGAACCGGTCAAGTATACATGATTGCATATTCTTTTTCCGGGTTCGAAGGAAGGAAATTTCTCAACCAAGAAATGTTTCTTCTTCTGAGATAACTGAAATGGATGACTCAAAACTTCCAAGATCGAAAAGCAGCCTTGCTAACAAGTCCAAGTTCATGTATGGTTTTGTTTTTAATAGGCAGAGACATGATGAGAGGCTAAGAAGAGGTGGAGAGCAGAAGTCTGTGGTTATTTTATCTCATAGTCCTTATTCTACTGTCTTCAAACCTCTGTTGCAAATCATGGGTCCATTATATTTCGACATCGGGAGTAGGGCTCTTGAGCATATTGCTGCTTGTGTTTCAATGTGGCCTGCTCCTATAACTGGTAAACAAATGGAGCTTCCTATTGGAAATGCTCTGCTTAAAGCACACTTGCCACCTGCTCATAGTTTGCCAATGGATGGCGAGACGTTTTCAAAAGAGTCTACATCCTCTATGGCTCCTTTTCTTCCTAATAATCAGTCTGTTCCACAGGGTCTTTTCCACGATTCCGATCTCTTTGGTACATTCCGGGGCCTTCTTCTGCAGCTCTGGCTGTTGTGGGAGTTGCAACTTATTGGTGAACCCATCCTAATCATTGCACCGACACCTCCCCAGTGTTGTGAAGCTGTTGCTGGTCTTGTTAGTTTGGTTGCTCCTCTTCTTTGTAGTGTTGATTTTAGACCTTATTTCACCATTCATGACCCTGAGTTTTCATACTTAAACACACTTCAAGAGGGAGCTACTTTCCCCCCTATGGTTTTGGGGGTGACAAACCTCTTCTTCCTTAAAGCCCTTCGTAGTATTCCTCATATTGTCTCAGTTGGAAACTCTACTGCAAATCGGCTTCCCCAGACATCCAGGTCCTCTTCTGGCAGTGTTTCTGGTACTCCTGAAGGGTTTGGATTTCGGCAGCTGTCCTTGAAAAAATTCTCTCCGACAAACTTACTAAATGCTGTGAAGTTGAGGAGAGATGGTCCTCTAAGCCTCATGACAGAACATAAGGAAGCCATCTGGAGCACTTATCCTGCAGCAATGAAGCCAGACACATCGATCTTGAATCGGCTTATTGACGCTGGCTTATCACCGAGGGTTGAGGAGTCCATGTCTGTTGTTAACAATGAGATTTTACGTCGACACTTCCTGGAACTTACGACCAACTTTTTGGCTCCTTTTGGGCCATACTTTCGAACCACCACACCTTCAGAAGGATCTTCTCCATTTGATGAGCCTTCTCGCCCTCAATTTAGTGCTGATGAGTTTCTTGCCAATCTATCAACAAGAGGACCAGGAAAATTTCTGGCCAAGCGAATGAGATCTAACTGGCTGGACTTGTACAGGTAATGTGGCCATTCTATTGTATTCTTTTATTTCATAGGAAGTATTCATCACCTTTAGGAATAGTTTTTTGGATTCTGTTATCAGCATATCAAATGACCTATCGAACGATTCCTTTCAGGCGGTTTCTCAAAGGACCAAACTTTATGCCTTGGTTTGAGAGAAGGCGTGCTGTTGCCGAACAAGAACAGCATAGACTATGGAGGCAAGCGAGAATCAATGCCGATGTACCACGGCTTATATCCAAAATGCCCGAGTTGGAAGTCGTCGACTTATTTAACGCTATTGAAAGACATCTTCTAAGAGAAATGGAGGTATTTTTTCCCCAACAATGCCTGTCACTATTTTGATCCCAATAAATTCTCGATTCGTTTCCAATTACACCCTTTTTGTTAATTTGAAAGGGGTATTGAATGGTTTTGAAATGACTTAGTTTTTTGTTCTGATCCCTCTAAAAGATATTAGGAAACTACATGATGTTTTAGGTGCAACTTAAAAGAATATTTTGGGCTTGATGATCAGTTGAACAATTTGTAGGAATGCGTTTTAGCCTTATTGGGAACCACAATCACACATTTAGCATTTTGATTTGTTTAGTTACTCGTGTTTTATTCCTTGTGCTACATTTTAGCTGATATTTGCTGGATTCTTACCAACGAAAGTGACCATGGGGCGTATTTTATTCACGATATTGCATTTCTTGTTCTTGCTTTACCAAAATCATTTGTAGTGTTCTCTGTGGCACCAGACAAGTAATAAGTTTCTAAGCACTCATGAGCTCCTTCAAAATTGTTGAGCTCTAGGCCTCAACGTCATGCAAAATAAAGAATAAAGATGATTCTGATTGAAATGGATGTTCGATGACATTGCAAGTGTCATGTTTTTTAGTATTTTAGGAGACCATTGATTCTTTTTATATGAGAAATTAGGAATTATGTGGATTAAAAGAAAAGGGGGAGGAAAACCAAGCCCAACCCATTCAAGAAGGGCTTACAATATCTACGAGTGGAGTGCCAGCAAAGACGTTGGACCCCATAGGGGAGTGGATTGTGAGATCCCACTTCGCTTGGAGAGGAGAACGAAGCATCCTTATAAGGGTGTGAAAACATCCCCCTAACAGACGCATTTTAAAACGGTGAGGCTAATGGCGATATTTAACGTGTCAAAACGGACAATATTTGCTAGCGGTGGGCTTGAGCCGTTACATTTATACTATATTTGTTGAGGGGGAACCATGATTTTGCTCCATGCAAGAGCCTGAAAAACAACCAATCTTTCTTCTTGTGTGGCCTTTGGTTACGAGACAACCTTCACCTAACTAATCTTCCTGTCTGTCACTAAAAACAATATATGATGCATCCACACTGCAAGCTATGTTTTTTTTTTTTTTTTTTTGTTATAAGAGGTTGTGCAGCCATATATTGATGTTTGAAGCACCATCTTCAGCTGCAGGAATCCAGAAGGGCTTATGTAGACTCTGTGACAATTTGCCAGAAACTGAAAGGCGATCTGCTGACTGTTTTTAATGTGCTTCCTAAGGACATGCAACAGCTTTTGCTTCTTAATCCACAAAGAGCATCGCTTCTCCGAGGAAGTCCCGAAGTAACGAAACTTCCAGGGCGCCCGCTTGTACAAGTTGGTGTTATATCACCAAGATAGTACTGAATACGTGTTATGAGCCAAGTAGCCTCAGGCAAAGGAGCTTTCTTCTGATTTTTTAGAGGCAGCACTCGCTGGTTTGTTCACTTCATCACTGGATGGGTAGATTTTCCCTGATTGTGACTGCTGCAACTGTTTTAATAGGTATCACTTTAGACCTCTCCTAATCTTTATATTTAAGATTCGTCCTAACAAAGTAGGATGATGATATGATAAACAGATGACCAAGGATGGTAGATTATGGCAGTGGTGCAACATTTTAGGCATCCAACTTGAGAATATCTGCAACGTTCTATGAACTTATGGATCATAAAAAAGTTCTTCCAGGAGATGATAGTGTTCGCATTTTTTATTAGTATTTCTGATTTGGTACTGTCTTCATTACTTCAAAGGAAGCATAATGTCAACATGTAATATGTAACTTATATTTTTGTACTGAGGCAGATCCAACTTTATTATGTAGATGTAAAGTTGAAGCAAAATAGTTTCGGTTCCAAAAATCTGAGGCTGTTGCAAGGGATGTAACCATCGTGGGATTTCTTTTAAGATGTTTTGAATGTTATATTGTTGGAAGGAATGATCAATTTGTAGCCCTTTGAAAGTGCTATGCATCTACTGATACATTGTTTTCAATTACCATGAAAAATGGGTCAGTGATCATTCTCAAAGGTTACTTTTGTTTGTCAATTCGGACATAGTTCAATATGTCCGATTAGAAAATCCATGTTGGAAAATGGCCTAGATAAATGATAACATAACTTTTCAAAATGTGGTGTATAAATATAATAGGTCGAAGAACTCGAACTTTCAATCTCACATATGATGCAAAATAAGTCACATATGATGCAAAATAAGTCACATATGATGTAAAATAAGTAGGAATGCAGACAAAAGGGATGATGATCATAAAGAATTTTGTTGCTCTTGCCTTCATATGGTTTTCCTTGGATTCTCTTCTTTGATGCTAGAGGGAAGACTCAGTGATTATGACTAGACAGGAAGTGACTCCATGAAAAAGAACCAGGGTAAAGGGTAAAGGGGGTAAGAAAAGAGATACATTTTATGATCCTATATCACCTAATTTACATATTTTCTTGGATAAGAATAAATTGCATATTATTGAAACCATCATTTAAAACTTAACAGACTTGCATGACCAAAGTAACACCAAAAATATTAAGCAGTTGGTAAATAAACACAAAATTATCGTTTCAGAACTCAATTAAATTACTCATCCAGTTCACATATTCTGCCATGGAAGCAAAGCCTTGGAGAAGTTAGTCACTAAAATCACACTTCAATAGGGAAAAATGATGTAAAGCATTCTATTTGTAGGTAAGATAAAAGGATAACATTTAGCAACTGCAAACCGGGGAACTGGGAACTTGATCCCCATCAACGCAATCTTCTAGCTTCCCTCTCTGACTCCAACAGGGTAAGAATGTCTCCTTCCCTCACTGGTCCCTTGACATTCCTCATAATGTAACGATTCTGATCATCAAGAAACTTGACTCTAACTTGAGTCACCTGCCCTCTTGATCCAGTTCTACCCATCACTTTGACCACCACAGCATGCTTGATCTGCGATTCCATTCCTAAACAAACACACGAAAAACAAATCTTAGAAAATCAATACCAAAGCGAATATTTTCCCTAATAATTACTCCCAACCAGCAATTTCCAAGACAATCTACCAAAAATTACTGGTTATGCAGCTTCAAGTTCCCATTTTGAACAACCCAATGAGTCATTAAGTGTAGGAACAAGTAAACTGATGCACAAACAGAATTGCTTATGAATATCAGTCCAGAATGTTCTATAAAACTATAAAAGTAAAGTAAAAGAGCCCAACTTTAAGAAAGCACAAGCGAGTTAAAATTCCAATAACTTAAATATTTAAACCAAGGCATCGAGGAAGATATCAGCATAGCAAGGCAAGTTTTTAAACTCATAAACAATGTCCTGCAAGAATAAGAACTACAATGCTAAACACCCCGAATTTGACAATTTAAATCACGACGGTCTTTATTTAATTAGCACTCGAAAATTTTATGCAGGGTATTCCACAAGCAACGACCGAGTGATTCTCACCAGCAGATAAAAAACAGTAATGAATAAAGGCAAAAGAAACAGAAAAATACAAATAACCAAAAATCTCGCAGAGAAGTCGAATAAGAACTGCCTTAAATGCTGCGAATCTGAACAGAGCAAAGAACCAAAGAGATCAGCATGGATCGAAGAAGGATTTGGATAGATACCTTACACGAAAGAGGACGTGAGAATTGAAGACAAGCCGCCGGACTGCAGGATCGACCAAAGCAAATGGAGGGAAAAAATACCTAGCATTTGCATTACTAGGGCTTCTGATCGTGCGTGAAGACGAATATAGCCCCAATGAATTTCTTATGTGGAAGGGTGTTTCAGTCATTTAGTTTCTAAAACTAAAAGAGATCAATTTCAATAAAATAATAAATAATAAAAATAATTCATAGTTTATGATCATTCCGTTGTAGCTCTTGCAAATAATTTTTCTTTTACAATATCATTTTTTTTCCTGTAAACTTGTGACTTTCTTTTTAATGAATTAAATACAGTATTTAATATTTAATTTAATAGCCAAATATTGTGAAACATTTAGAACGGTAAGTTTATTTTTTTTATTTATTTATTTTTTTTTTTTTTTTGATCGACTATTTGTCTTATTTGCTTTTAACTTGAAAGAGTTCATGCATGGTACTCGCTAATTGCTCAAAGAAATTAAAAATTAAGATACATTTTCATCGTAAGAATATAAAAAATATAAACAAAATAAATAGTGAATTTGAGTATTATTTAATAAATAAATTACTAATTATCATTATAAATATCGAAAAAGAAAAAAAAAACTAATTAATTTATAGCCACATAATGTATATCTCTAGATATTTATTGCCAAATAGCTAAATAAAATAAACTTTATTTTTTGATTGGGACTTTAATTTTGATAATGACAGTAATGTTATGGGATAAAGTTGAGATATTTATTTAATAAAGATTTCATTTGTACCCTTTAATTTCCTTTAATTAAACTCTAAGCTTATATGAGGAGTGAAATCCAACGAAGTTGTTAATGATGTGGGAATGCAAACAAAGTTTGTGTGGGATAAAAGGAAGGTCGTAGGCATATAAGCTAAAGCAATCAAATTTACGAGAGTTCATGTTCAAAGTAGACAATATCGTACCCTTGTAAAGATAGACATGATGATTAGATGTTACTGATAGAAACCAAATTCTCCGATATTTGTCCACTTTAAGCATAATCTCTCATAGCTTTGCTTTTAGTCTCTCCAAAAGGCCCCGTACCAATGGAAATGTATTTGTAATAGCTTTCACTCTTAGGCTTCTTCTCAAGGTTTCTAAAACTCTTTTGAGCTTCTCCTCGAGGTTTTTAAAACTCACCTGGTAAGAATAAGTTTTCATACCTATATAAAGAATGCTCCGGTTCTCCTCTCCAACCGATGTGGGATCTCACATATTCTTTACTTACAAACATATGATCAACCCTTTAATTAGTCGATGGAGATCTCTTCTCCTACCAATACTCGACCATCCCTACCATCCATGAGTAAAGAGAGCTGTTTTAGCAAACTCTAGAAAAAAGTGAGTAGGAAGGAGACAAGTATAATAGGCAGAGACCAATTGGGCGTCGCTCAGTCCTCTCTCTTTCGGTGGGTAGCAGCGAGGTGGACGTGATCCTTGTATATTTTTTGTGGTGCAGTTTTGGGTCAACAACTTGAAGTGGAGAACAGACCACGTATCCAGAGAGAGAGAGGGAGAGACTTGTTTATTTACACACAAACTCTGGTAAACACCCAGCAATACCAAAGAAGCCGACACTCCCATTCACTTCAAATCCTTTTATGCTTAAGAGGGTCTGCCTGTAATAGAGTTTTGAATAAGGATATACAGAGCAATTGGCCTATAATGTATCTATAATGTATCTGCTTAGGAGAGGTTTTCATACCTATATAAAGAATGTTTCGTTTTCATCTTGAATCGATATAGGATCTCACAATCTATCCCTTCGAGTCCTAGAGGATCTATTGAAATTGCTCGTGGGTTTGGTTTCTATTGAAGAATCATGTATATTATTAATATTCTGATGAGCCAAATAAACCTCAGTACAACACATGGGAGGGGGACTGAGGAAGTGCAAACTTTGACCACTTCCCCCAAGCCTCCACTGATCATGACATCAGCCTTACACATATCAGATGGGGAGTGAGAAATTTTACTCTGTTCACCATGTTTTTCTTTTGTTGAAGATTCTCTGGGGCTGTGTTCCCCTAATTTCTCACTACCAACTCTATGATTGCTGATGTCTGGCCAAAAAGTCTCTCTCTTTCTCTCTCTATAGAGTTTCTGCAAATATGATTATTGATGGGGGGATGAAGATGACAAAGAACATGTCACTTCAACTCCCCAAAAAAGTGGTCCTCTCTTAATTGAGAGTTTCACCACTCACCTCCTTCCCTTGCCCTACGCCACATTCTTCACTCTTCTCTCTCCTCTATCCTTTGCCCTCCAAACCAGACTCTTCCCCCAGAAAACTGAACAATTCAGCATGCTTTAATCCATTACCATTTCCACTCCTGGGTTTACCAAACATCGGTGCACCATGTCAACTGGATCAGCTGCCTGGACCAAAGAAGAAGATAAAGCATTTGAAAATGCCATAGCTACGCATTGGGATGCTCCAGAATTGGAAGGGAAGGAGTCTGAAGAGATGTGGGAAAAGATTGCTTCAATGCTTCCAACCAAGAACATGGAAGACTTGAAACAACACTACCAAATGCTGGTTGAAGATGTCGGTGCCATTGAGGCCGGCCAAGTTCCTATTCCAAATTATGCTTCTGTTGGAGAAGAAACAACTAATGCTTCTACTAAGGACAAGGATCGTCATCTTCATCCTCATGGGACTACTGGCTCTGATACTAATAAAAGACCCAATTCAGGTTTTGGAAGTGGGTTTTCTGGGCTCTCCCACGACTCGTCTTCCCATGCCACAAAGGGCGGATCCAGGTCCGAACAAGAAAGAAGGAAAGGGATCCCATGGACGGAGGAAGAACACAGGTTTGTGTATTTTCAACAACTTCGAATATTGGGTCATTTCCTTGAGAGCTATATAATTTATCAATTTAGATCCAAAAAGGAGAAAGGTGTATCCGGATATTTGTTCTTCTGGTCTGTGAGATCTGGACTACCAATGGAATCATTTTCCCTCCTTTTTTCATACAGAGGTTTCTTAGGCTGAACAGAATTGAGATAGATAGATTCTTAACTATTGCTATTTTCAGGTTATTTCTACTGGGTCTAGACAAGTTTGGGAAAGGGGATTGGAGAAGCATTTCAAGAAACTTTGTTATATCCAGGACACCAACACAAGTGGCAAGTCATGCACAGAAATATTTCATTCGATTGAACTCAATGAACAGAGATAGAAGAAGATCAAGCATTCATGACATTACCTCAGTTAATAACGGTGGTGGCGACGTCATGGCCCATCAAGCTCCGATCACCGGCCACCAGACGAACGGCATGAACCAGAATAATCCACCGGCTTTGGGGCCACCAGGGAAGCACCGCCCTCAGCAACATCTGCCCGGAATAGGGATGTACGGGGCACCAGTTGGGCATCCAGTAGCGACTCCTCCGGGGCACATGGCATCGGCAGTTGGCACTCCGGTGATGCTTCCTCATGGGATCCATCCCCATCCTCCTTATGTAATGCCAGTAGCTTATCCAATGGCTCCTCCACCAATGCACCAATGACGATTCTTTTTTCCATCTTTCCTTTCTGTAGTTAGATTTTTGTATTCATGGATCAAAATAAGAAATTTGAGGCATAACAAAGAAGAACAAAGGGAAAGTTCACTACTTTTCAACTTTTACCTTCACTATGATCCATCCCCAACCATGTTGTGGAGAGAATACAACAGTATAGAGATTTGAGAAACGCCCTCTTTCAGCCTTTCAAGGATAAATATGAATATGGAATCCAATTTTCATTTTCACCATGTATATGATAGTATAACTGCAATGAAATATGAGCGCTAATCAAGAGCTCTAAGGATTCATTGATTTTTTTTTTTTTTTTTTTTAAATAAACATTTCACAATTTGACGCCCAGATGGACATTCATCGTCCAACAAATTCAAAGGTGGGGGGAATATATACTCAGCAAGTTTACGAACGCCCAGCCACAAGAAAATACAGGGAATGGAAACAGTAACAAACTCAAACAACTTCAAAATTTGGACAGAGCCCACATGTCAAAAAAATAAAAATAAAAATAAAAAAACCCAAAACTACCTACACGACCAAATATTTCTCAACTACATTTATATGATGACTCCATAAATTAACAATTTAAGATTTCGGCTGCCTGTAATTTCCAAACTTCCGAGAGACTGCAGCATCAGACAATGTATCCCACACCTGCAAGTAACAATAATTTATCAATACCATTTACAATCACTAAATATAACTCAGAAATCACTTGAATGGAAATGAATATACACCCAACATTCATAACTCACCTCCAATTTGCCTTTGGAGCCTCCAATAGCCATCAAAAAGGGGCAATCTTCTGAGAAGGAAAGCGAAAACACAGCTCCCTGCAACAATTAAGACGTAACAAAATGATTGTTAGAAGTCTCCAACATGCTGTGTTATATAGCTTAACCACAGCAATCGTGTTACTTACTGCTTTAGGATTCGTGGATGCCACACATGAAGGTTCATTATTGGACAAGTCCCATAATTTAACCTGCAAAAGCAAAACAAATTCCTTATTATATATTATCTCCAAAGCATTTTATAAGTACTATAAAGGAATTATGAATTACCATTTTGTCAGTAGATCCAGTTGCAAGTAGCTGGAGAAGGATACAGACAGACGGAATTTAGTAATCAGTAAAGCCGGCAATACAAAGGAGAGGAGAGGAGAGGAGGAAATTGAGCAAGAAAAAGAAGAAAAGAACAGGAAGTACATTAGGTGCCGCGGGATTGTAAGCAACGGAGCACACAGCTTTCTCATGCGCGTGGAGAGTAAAACTTGCTTTTGATTCAGAACTTGTCTCTGTGGTGGCATTCCGGATGTCAAATCCTTTCACTGTACCATCCTCTAGACTCACCTGCATAAAATTATACAAATCAACAAATGCCGCAGCTTATGTTATAAATACTTCAAAAACTGAACTCACTGAATAAATTGTAGTACATGGAACAAACTAAAGAAATCCAAATGAATAATTGAATTGTAAAACCAGAAAAAAGGATCATCAAAACCAGGTCTGTGCAAGAAGCATGAATACACACCACAAACATGTGCTCTGTATGTGGATCCCATGCCAAGCTCTCCACATCTGCTGTAACTAGCCACTTGTAACCTGAATGGGAAGGATTCCTCCCATCTTTCTGAATTACATACAAACATAAAGCCAGAAATTTCAAGCTATGATGAGTATGAGTATGAAGTTAAACATGAAGATTAACTTTTGCTAAAAAAAAAAGAGAGGTTATACAGCATCATTATAATCCCAATAAAGTGTGTAAAAAAAAATAAGTAGAAAACATATTGTATTACCAAAACTACTGAATGATCAAACGATCCACTAAGGAGAACTTGTGACGAATGATAATTCCATGCGACAGCTTGGACCTGGAAAGTAAAAATATAAACAACAAAAATTTATATCTGGCACCAATTTGAAAAGCCACAGATGTTAATTTATATAAGTAAACTCGTATAGCTAGGCATCTTCACAAGATTCACAAGCTAAACAAACCTCATCATGAAACTCTACCCAGTTAACATTGATATAATTAAAGAATACAAGACAATAGAAAAGGATAAAATTTGTAAAATTTCAACTATTAGGGGGAATTACAACAACAACAACAACAACAACAAAAATAAAAAATAAAAAAATATCCGGCCTTTTGAGAGGCCTTACCTCTAATTTACTAAAGATTTGCTTATCTCACTCAACTCCATTCACTCCCACACTAATGGCATTACAAACACTAATACAAAAGACCTTTCTACCGTCCAGCTTTCCTAATGTGCACCCCACCCCTCCCCTGACACCATTCATTTTCTTTCTTCTATTTAATGTGTAAGGATAGGACACTCCTATCATAAAATTAACTTCAAGTTGAGACTTATCTCATCAGCTAATAGGATTAATTTAAAAAGTAAAATAAAATACCAAAAAGGATAATGGGCTACTCATCTTCGTTTTTTCTTTAAAAAAAACCACTTATCTTCAGTGGGATAGAGAACAATCTAAAAAATCAATATAGACCGCTATTACAACTATATAAATTGACTTTAAATAATAAGTGTATGAATAATAAAACTAAAATTCCTACCTTGTCTGTATGATGCTGCATAGTTATATTACATTTTTCAGTAGATACGTCCCAAATCTTGACTTGCTTATCGGCACTTGCACTAGCAAGTATATTCCTGTTTGTTATAGGGAAAATTAAGTGAATCATAATGCACTAAAACAACTTCTTGAAATAACTAACAAACATGAAATAATGTGAAACATACCTATATTCCTTGTTCCAAGCAAGTCCAAGTACTGAATCCGTGTGGCTGTTCTCTTTGTATGTAATTAATGTCTAACAAAACAAGATATGGAGTCGGTACAATTAGTAAAGGCTTACAAGAACAACTGAAAAACTTAAGCTTGAGTGACTACGAACTTGAAACAAGATTACACCAAACGGAAGTGGGTCAACAATTTCAGGAGAACTGATTGAAACGGGAGAATTAAAAGAGACTTAAACTAGAAAACAAGCAGCTTACTTTCTTTTCCTTCTTCTTATTCTTCTTCTTCTTCTTCTCAGCAATTCCACCTAACACAACACATGGTTGCACCTCGTCCCTCTAGAAAAATATATAAAATGAGAAATTAATGAAACAATTTGTTACAAAATGTAATATCAGTAAAATAATATCCACATAAACATACAATGTCAAGGTCCCATATCTCGATGGCAGGTTCCATTGAACCAACTGCAATAAAGTTCCCTGGCACAAGTGGATAGAGTAGTCAACAAAAAAGGCTGAATTATGTGTAAATTTAAGGTTGCTGTTGAGGGCAATAATCCAAAAATGCCTACTAAATGAATTTTGTGTGCAGAGTTAAGGTTTTCATTCAAGTTCTAAATTAACCCAAAACAAAAAAATATATAATCGATCAGGATTTTAGTTCCCCAACCAAGCATATCTGAACTACTCTTCAAAACCCCGGTTGTCTAAATTTGAAAGATCAGGTGCCATATATTTGATTTAGAACGAATTTCCATCTGTTTCTCCATTCAGTAAACTACAAGCAGAATTAACGAAAACATAACACTGAAAATAATTAATGAAAACATAATACCTCTTTCTCCACCCTTCAGAGGACAGTCTAGCCAAGCAGTGCAAAGAGGAAATGCTGGAATAATTATCTCATGGTGAATATAGAAGTTAGGATCACCTGCATCATATCCTTCACATATACACACCTGCTTATAAATTAATCATTGGTAAGTGTCGTTTAAACAAAATTTTCTTCCTATCGCTTATCGTCATCCTTCTCTAGAGGATTTGACTTGAAGACAAGAAGGAGGAAATAGATATTAGTTCCAGTCTACTACATGCCTGGAGAGCACTGACGTCATCTTCATTACATGCACAAACTATGACCGCATCTGTTGGTTTGATAGTCTCATCCTCAAGATCTTCAGAGTCGTCATCCTATAACAGTAAAAAATAAATAAATCATGACACAGTGAAACCAAAACAGCCAAACATAAATGTTTAATAAACAACTTACACCCTCGTCCTTGAGATATGGGTCCATATCATTAGATTTGTAGTAAAGGTCTCCAGCCCCGGAGGTAAATAACTCAATTTCTGAAGCAAACCACAACAATATATAGCCTCAGTAATGCACCCAATGAAAGATAAATTACAATGGAGCGAAAAAAGGTCAAATTAGTTAAGAAGTGTCATAGTCCAGCTGCTATATTATAGATAGCATATAAGAAACATGTCCTCTCGTAGTCATTACAATATAAAATTAGCATAAACTAATAACATAAAATAGAAACAGGGAAAGCTAAGCCAAAGGGAGGGGGGATGAGCATACCATCATCTTCATCATCATAATGGTCCATGTCAAGTTCCTTCAAACCTTCAGCGATATCGTCATATTTGGTTTCTGACTTTGTGGTCTCAGAAGATTTTCCAAGTGCTTGTGCAACAGCTAGTGCATTGGCAATCTCTTCATCATTGGCGTCTTCAACATCCATATCTTCTTCATCTACCTCATCCTCGCTATGTTTGCTGCAAAGACCAAATCAAAGTTTTTACAATATGAAGACATACAATTGACAGATGCACAGAAAAGAACCACATTTGTAACCAAAACTTGTGCCCAAAATCATTATACAAATGCATAATCAATAGGAACTAGCACAA